TGTATAATAAAAAATACACAAGGAAACGTAACAAAGATATATCACTGCTATCAGAACAGAAAAAACTCAAACTATTGGTGTACAAGTTAACTACATACCAATTCATCGGGTATATCAAAGCATTAGCAGCTTGGACACAGGAGCTTAAACGATTCAACTTGTTTGAAGTGATAAGTATACGACGTTCATGAAGCATACTGATTGACCAAAGAAAAACAAACAAATTACAGAAAATAATGACACAAGTTTTTAAAATTCAGTTTTTTTACTTAGTATTAAAACAAAACACTAAACAGGTACATAATTTAACCAAAATAACTCTTGGGCACACAGCTCAAATTGTACTTTAAAGTAGTGAGCCTATAAGCAATGTTAACTCATCTTTACAAAGATACAGTTAGCTATTAGAATAATTAACAACAAGAAAATTACTGCAATTCATTTTAAGCTACATCAAAATATGTGATGTACTGTACAGGAATTTTGCTAATTATACAAAACATTTTATTTTTACAATCTTCATGGTTTGTTTCATTTTATTTCAATACAATATATTTATTGTACCATATTTCACAGACATCAGTTGACAGTGACTTAAGCCACAAATTACTTTTAAGGAATCACAAAGAAAACTTTAAATAATTACACTACTGTGCTACAGTTCATAGAATCAAAGCACAAACAACTTTCTTACCTTGCAAAAATAACCATCATGTTTGTAACATCAATGGCATTAACGTACTCAGTTAAATTCCTCTGTAAATATCAAAATAGCAGTAATTGATTTGAACATGAATGAAAAAAAATATACTGCTTTTCTAATGATTATTCTAAGCATGAACTTAATTAACAGAACTCTTAAAAACTAGAATTACTTTATTTAAAAGAAATAAAGTCAGCCTTGACAAAGAATGAATCCTTATAAAGGAAGACCTTTAGAAATATCAATATTTGTTTATCATGAAAAACTTACTATACCATTCTAAAACTTATTAATGGAATCTAACTTTTTTTGGTGTAAGAATCTGACTGTGAAACAACATTCTAAAAGTTTTTTTTGTTATTAATGTGCAAACTTATAACAAGACGGAATATCAGAATTTTTTTATTAACAATATGAAATAAGAGAGTTAGTTTTTGAAATGTGTAAACTAACTTTTGGATGACAGGGTAGCAATTGTTAGATTCAACATGAAATCAATGGCAAATATACCATAGTTTATTTATGCAAACATTATTAACAGATCTTATTAGTGGTGAGTATTGAACACTGTATTTGCTTTCTGTATGCAGGAAAAATATTTTTGTGAACTAGAGGAATGACACAGAAGTATTTTAAAAACTTCATCAATTACACAACACCCCCCCCCTCAGTAAAATTAATTTGTAATTACTGTAAAATTTCAAAAAAATTGATTGAAAAAGGTATTTTTAATATAAGAAGTTTAACGTGCTGTTTTTTTAATTAACATTTTTTCTAGGGGCAGGTTAAGGTGTATATGTCACATCCTTTTACAGAGTTACATTCAAAATTTAATCAAACTACTTAACTCTCTCATTACGGGCTCGGTCAATCTGACCAACCACATGACCTCTTTGTACTTGATCAACGTCTTTATAGATTTAATACTTCTAACTTCCAATATAGTGTGTATATCTTTACAAAATTTGGCAGTCTTTCACATGTAAAGAAAATAATATTTTTTAATGAATACAGACTTGTCCATGAATATATTGAGTTTCGTTTTGAATAGTCTGTATGCAAAGAGATTTTCACGTTAAGAATAAAAATACTTTTCCTCTTCTCAAAAAATCTCAAATTTCCTTTGTGTAGTCCCTAAAACCTACTAAATACATTTAAAACGTTTGTTTTTAGTAACACTTTATATTTTATCTATTACTTTCTCTACCCTAACTCTATATGGGATTGGTCAATTTCACTATCATCATAATCATACACAAAAATAATCGAAATAAATCTAAATTACCCTTTTATTCTTTCTAGAATGACTTCAAATTGCAACATGAAACTACATTCATTTATCTTAAGTAGCTTTAAGTTGGTAACAATATACATATATTTATAATTAAATTTTATTGCCCTGTGAACCCTGTCTAACTACTATCTGCTCCATTACAAGTTGAAAATTGCTCGGAGAATGTGTGGCTCACATTAAGCTATCGAATTACATTACCCACGAGCTGCTGGCGAGCGTGCCTCTTGAAACATTTTTATTATATTATAATTTATTTGACCTAATCTAATCTTAAATAACTTAAAAAGATCCATATTTTTACATTTTAGTTGGTTTTATAATAATAAATAAAGAATTAACATGAAAAATAAGGAATAAAGTACTTACCTAATCTTCTTTTTTTCTTGCTGTTGATTATTGATGACACTTAACCCTATTTTATTCAATACTAATAGTGGTAATGCACTAAATAATTTTTATTTAATTAAATAATGCACCAAAGAACATAGATTGCGAGTCGAGCGTCCTAACCACCTGGCCATGCTGGGCCATTATAAACTTAAGACTTATATACTATTAAAATATGGATTATTAACTACGATTTTATGCTATTCTAATTGGTATAACATAAACAAAAAGTAGTTTAATAAAATTTTGAATGTAAGACACTAAAACCTTGTGTCGTGCTGTAAAGGATACCTGTGGTGATAAGGTTAATTATCAATATATATGAATAAACTTGGCAGCAACACGAAGTTAATAAACCAAACTTTAATATTATATAAGTTTTAATTTCTTAATTTCAAAAGTAAATATTTAAATAAATCCTTAATTTCCCCTTGTATGAAAATCGTGACATCTGTTCGCACCATGTTGTCCATCCTCTAATTTTGTCATCACCCCTCTCTGACATTCTGAGTTTATTATAAATTACTCATTATAATATAGATATTACTGTGGAAAAGTCTAATTATTTTAGCCTTCAGTCTTCTTTGTTTACAGAAACAAACTATAATTTCAAATCCACTTGCCACACTCAATTATAAAATTCTCTCTTTCACAAATTACCAATAATTCTCTTTGATGTTTTCTATTACACCATTTATAATCAACAAAAAGGTAGTTTTAATTTACCACATGATGTATAATACTACAATGTTCTCAGTACAAAGTATAGACTGAAAGTGGCTCTCTCTCCTAGTTCAGATCATGTAAGTAAGGGAATTATTTTAAGGCACTTATGTCTTAGTTAGAAAGCTGGTTAAATAAAAATAGCTATAGGACATAGTTGGCTTTGTACAAGTTAATATTCTATGTTTTTATGTGCATTCTTTAAATAAATAAAAATCATTTAATATACCATTACCTTCATTCCAAAAGTGGGCTTAAGTTAAATCACTAGAAAGACAGCAAAAAGAAACACAAGAGGCCAAACATAAGTACTAAATTTCTTGTTTTTTTATGTATATTTTTTATTATTGTTATAAAAGTGACTAGAAAGAAAATAAAGGTAATTAAGATTTATTTCATATTTTTTGTGGTAGTTAAAAGTCAGTCAAATTGACTGAGTCTGTACAGAATTAGGGTAAAGAAATTAACAGATAAAATATTAAAAAAATTATATTTATTTAGAATGTTTTAGAGGTTATGCAAATAAAATTTGAAAACTGCAAGATGGATAAAAGTATTTTTATTGTTAATATGAAAATCCCCTTGCAATCAAGTTAGTCAGCACTCTGACTCCATATATTCACAGACCAATGTTTACCAAAAACACTTAATTGAAAAGCTGATTTTTAGTCTACAAAGGAGTTGTAATATTTATTAAAAGCTTGCCATGTTTCATGAAGATACATGTACAACATTAATCCTATAATTACAATGCCATTTTTAAAACCCTTTTTGTGCATGTTATGAGTTACATTCAAAATTTAATTAACCACTTTACTATAAATGTATTTCAATGAAATTATTATTGTCAAGTATGTTATAACTCATGTTTTAAATTATATAAGTTTTATTCCTTTATTTCAAAAGAAACCTCTAAGACAATAATTAAACTTTCAGTATGTATCTCGACCTCAACTAAAAATCTCTACTTTAGAGTGGATATAGGAGAAACAAGTGTGAGAATGTAGACTGCATTCCTTCATATGGTCAAAGTACAACCTTGAGGTTCTTTAGAAGGATCAAAGATAAGCCATGCCACTTTCAAGGGTGAAGTTATGTTGCTAAGCAACAGTTTTAAGTTGAATGGCATGCTTATAACCAATAATAACAGAAGATTTCATGCTGTTTGTTGGAACTAGGCCAAGAAACATTAGCAGTGTATGGGTTTGTACGTGTGAAGTAGAAGGTCAGTCCATTGTCCAGAGCTGTGTCCCTAGTGATTGGTTTTACTTTCTTGCCTTACATATATATTAGATTGATAGACAGTTAAATTGCATTTAGGTCTTACTTTTAAATTTTAATTAATTATGTATTACTTGTGTTTTAAAATTCATATTTGAAAGGTTTAATGATTTTTTTTTACTTTTACCTGTGGACGACTTGCTTGTGAATGCTTATAAAAATAGGCACGTGCAAGCACCATTATCATGTGGCAAATGCATTTCTGCCCTGGGGTATGCAGGCACCAGTTGATATATCAACTTAAGTAATAAAAGACAAGGAAAAGATATATGAAAAATAATGTTTTATATTGCACTTGTTTAAGTATTACTCCATCTGTTACTTGAAGTGGGTGTTTTCTTTCTAGATAGAAATGTATTACGTTAAAAAGCATTTAATGTTGCCTAGTAATCTGGTGAAACTGTCAAGCTTGTTTTGTTGATTGTAACAATCCAAATAAAATATAACAACAGAGCTTACATTTCCTGGAACACTGGGCAACTTGTGATGGTCTGGACACTGAGTGACAAATTTCTGTACAAAAAAGTGATGAATTGTTAGAAAATAACTCAAGGTAAAATAAATTCTTCTCATCAGTAAGCTATACAATTTTAAATGTCAAGGATATGATAGCAGATATTTATTACACATATTAAAATATTTCATTTATTAAGTTAGAAATTTACATGTAAACACAAAACACTTTATGGAACTTGAAATAAGGTTTCAAACTCTTTTCATGTGGAGTCTGACCAAAAGAAAGTAAATTCTGCAGTTACTGGATTTTGAAACACAAACAGATAATTTACTGAGTGTTAATTATATTATTTCTTAACTTTATTTTGGTAACTTCAATTTAGAGAATTATTACTTAAACTGTTAATGTCTATTAAGATCTTCACAGAGGCTGTTTTACAAACAAAGCTCTGAGATTTTTTTGTCATGCTTTCTGTGCTTGAGAAACTTTGTTTAGCTTGTTTGTTTTATTGCACTACTCTCATTTGCATTTGGGTCATGATGTTTCAAACCAGTTCCTGACCTTTTAGGTTAAATTATAAAAATGTATTTTAGGGAAACAGTTTACTTTAAAATTGTCTTTCTAACAACTAAGTTTCTTAAAAGTGAACATCCATCATCTAGAATGAATGTTAACATACCTTTGTTCCATCATTGTAAACAACATGAAGTTGATAACCAGGCTCAGGAACAATAACGTGATACATAGCTTCAAGGAATCGCCATAAATCTCCAGCCTATGAAAAGTATTTGAAATTGGTCATGTCAATAGATAGCAAAAGAAAAATCACATTGAAGTAAGTAAAAGAAAATTTTTATGTCTAACTTCAGTCTGATTAAAAACTATATCTTCACTTAAAATTTCATTCAAACTTAACAATTTTATATTTTGCCTTTGATACAAATATTGTCTTATCTTTAGAATCAGAATACAATTACACTAAATAACTATTAAGCAATCTCACAACTCTGATTGTTCCAAACACAATAAGGTCAATTCATCACTACAGGACATCTAATGGTCAGTCATCTTAAAATTTACCACTGAACAAGAATACATTCAAAAATATGCACACAAGTCCTTTTACAATTAAAAAACAGAGTATTTTAAAACTGGCTCTTCTTTTGGGAGGTCAACAAAACAGAATCTCAAATTTAAATTAGGGTATTTCTGGAAATAAAAAAACACAGTTGGCCAAATGGTTAAGTAATGTTTTGTTTAACACACAAGAAGGGTATCTTTTACCATAATATTTTTATAAGATTGTATGACGGTTTTAAAATGCATGTAAAACCAATATGGACATATAGCTTGGCTGATAGTTCCTATGTCAATTCCAGAGGTAAGACCAGAGACAATTCTGAAACATACTTCTTTCTACAGAAAATAATGCAGACGCGATTTTCAATGAAACGTACGTTTGGAAAATTACCTCTATGATACTAAGGCAACAGTACAATGGAACCAATATAAAAGCAGGCATTTAACTATGACTCTTAACAAAATGGGTCCTTCCTAAAAGAGGGCAAGAATTTGGAATTATGAGAAAGTGAAAAGAAAAACTGAAGCAGCAGTTTTCTTGATTGGCATCTTTAAGTTAGTAGGAAGAATCCAACTCACAAGCACTATTGATCACACAACCTGGCTTGAATAAAAGTTCCTAGCAGAAACCTGAAACTGTCACTGCTCAAAATATTAATGGTACAAGTAGGATTACATGAACATATGAAGAGTGATCCACATCTCTCAAACTTAAAATGTCTTCCACCTATATTAATCCACCTGGTATAAGACAAATTTTAAATCCATTATTTGAAGTGTTTACCAAGTGGATGGGACTGACCAATATGAAACAGGAATGGTACTGGCAACACAAGCTTTAATAGTACAATAATGAATACATATAAAAGCATCAATAAATACAACAGTGATCCCAAAACTACCCAATGAGACATTTTCTTTGTTCATTGTTAAGCACAAAGCTACACAATGAGTAATTTGTCCCCTGCCCACTGTGGGTATGAAGCCCAATTTTTAGTATTATAAGTCCTCAGATTTTCCTTTGAGCCACTGGTGGTCTCAGTGAAAAGTGACAGACATAACTAAGCATCATGGAGGTTTCACTGAAAAATATGCTTAAAAAAGTTAGTCTAAGCCAAGCTGCCCAAATACAAACATAAATCAAAACCAACCTGGTAATGAAAGAAGTTCCCAAGTGGAAGATACAGAAAGTTTACACAACTAATGAAAAGAATGGCTGTCATAACAGACAAAGAGGAACAGCTATCAGTAAGTACAGTTACAGTTATAGAAGATATATTTACTGATTTCACATGAACAAAATTTATAACTACTTATTGGTTCATAAATTCAAAACATTGTTCACGTGTAGATTACACCTTAAAAATAAAAAATAAATTAATGTCATATTAGATATCCAATTTTCATTCTACAAACTTGACAGACAGATAAAACAACAAAGATAACAATTACTTACTTCTTCTCTGTTTGCTAGATCCACAATGTTATTCAAAACTGCATAAAATGTTTCATGCCAAGGTAGAGCACTGTGACAGAGAAAAAAGAATGCACAATTTAAAAACAAAAAATCCATAATGATATCAATTTTAGAATTTGATACACATCTACTAATTTTTATCCACAATTTAATTTAAATCTGCTCCATATTTGTGTTCCAGATGCTTGCTTGCTTAAGTACATATGAAATAATCTTAGTAAAAATGTATGATTCCAGTGTAAACAAATCTGAGGTTCTCTAAAAGTTCTACAATTTTTGGGTGCTTCAGAAACTGCTGGGCATAAGTTTAAAAATTAATTCACAGATATACATGATTTTGCAGCAATGGGAAGCAACCATGGACCCTTAGATTCACAGTCTGGCATGATAACCGCTAGATCATGCCTGCTCCCAAGATCATGCACAAACTCAAACTATTTGAAACAAGAAGGTTAATTCTTTTGATCTTGGAAATTTAATCTACAAATGCAATCGTGTGAAAATACCAAAAGTTACAAAAAAAACTTGAAGCTATATGTTAATGTTAAAAATTGCCTGAATATTTATTTCAAATATTCAGTTGTTATTCTTCATTTCTTGGAATGATTTTGTTACAATGTTTTGAAGTCAGACAATATCAAAAGCAAGCATTTTGTTGACCAGATAAAAAGAACTTTCAGGGTTTCCCAACAGGTAAGAATGGTGTTCAAAATAAAAATCCTCTCTTGTTAATTGAAAGTACAAAAAACTAAT